ACTCGACCTAACTGTCACCCTTACGGGGAAGTACGGTACCTTATCGCTTACAACCTCCAACCTATAGTCTTTATAATTTATGCTTCGAAAAATCTGCACAATCGATATAAACTAAATATCAACAACAAAAAGAAACCAAAACAACTAATAGGTTGCCAATTTGGGGGATATGGGCTTTGACGGCATCGGAGAGCAGGTGTTTTTGCCCTCAAGAGGACTGAGGAAGCAAATGCAAGCCCTACAGAGGCTGTTGTGGTAGGTTCCATGAGGTTGGAGGGCTGAGGATGGCAGGAGGTGATGGAATAGGGGGGCCGAAGGGCTGCCCTGCATATGTACGTGGCCAACCCTACAATATGCAAGGCAGCCCTCTATTAGTGTATGCCCTAGGAACCAATCGTGTTGTCGGTTTCAGGACATTATATCTTATAAATGTATTATTATGAATAAAAGCAAGTGTTCTTATTTCACATGTTGATTTTCTGCTTGATTTATATTATATTATATTTAATATTGCATGTGAAATGTCTGGATGACACGGATCTTTAGAAGATCAAATCATCAAAAAATTCCCTACGTAATGTTAATTGGGCAATAACATTGTATAGTAGGCATGTTGAATGTCTCCATTGAATATCATGTGATAATATTAGTGTGGGTGATTATAAGAGGTATGTCACTAAGGCATTAGCATGGATAAACGATTAGTGAACTGTTTATCGAATACGACTGATTACGATGAATCACATGGATGTGGTCAATGATGCATCGTAGGATCGTGCTAGTGTACCACTGATCCTTAGACTTGAGACATCATGGTTGGATTCAACATAGGATGCATATGGTTCATATGGTGTATAAGCAAGAGACTAGTCATGTCTTGTGTAATAAGCCGGTTTGGTCATATGTTATTCATGTGCGAGGACAAGTGATGGTCAAGATGGGATCCGTTAACTCAAAATAGTCCAATCTCGAGTTCCCAGACAAATATCAATAAACATTGGAAAGGGGAAATCTCTGGCCAGAGTATAATGAATGTCAAATAAAAAGTAGTTTCATGTTGACGAGTTCCATTGTATTGATTGACAATTCAATTAAAGATTAAGTTAAAGGTTTTGACATACCATGAACCATTCTTGATTGGGATTAGATAATGGAGGGATTTGACTACATGATACATATGATCAAAATAGGTTCATTGGAGTTTACACTTCATTGTGGTTTAGGGGTTATGGAACATTGCTAGACGTCTACCATAATCAGTGGGAGTTTCGATTATAAAGAGTTATAACGAAACATATCAAAATTTGATATTGGGCCCACGGCTGGATCACAGTGAACCACAATGGTCACACATAAAACCAAGCTCAAAGAGAGAGAGTAATACATATCATTAATCAGATTAATGATGTTCGGACATTAATGGTTGCATCTGAATTAATGTATTGGTGAGAAATGATTATCCATGATAGCTAGCACTAACCAAGGGTAATAAGGATTTATTAAATATTATTATTGAATTGGATTCAATGATGGGGGCAAAAGTGCATTGGTTTTATTCTAAAGGGTTAGAATATTTAATAGAATTAAAATTTGGTCTAATTATGAATTAACCATAAAACCAACGATTTGACATAAATGTTTATTCTCAAGTTAATTTTAAATTGTTTGAAGCCTTTCCAAAACAATTTAAAATTACACTTTGTGCCCATGGTATATAAATTAAGTATTATACAATTTTAATGCAATTTGTAACAATTGAAAACAAAAGGCACTCTCTCATTTTCTCACTCACTCTCTCGGCTCTCTCTCATCTTTGGCTTAGGTGGATTTCATTTCGAGTTTCTTCATTCTCTTTCGAAGAATCTAGACTCCAAGTTTCAACATCAAGCTTTTAATAGCAAAAGGAGTTGATAATTTCTATCATTTTCTTACATTAATAAGTTAATGTTTTAATTGTTTGTTTTCTACCTTATGTCCATCATCTTGATCATCATTTTCTCTCCATTTCCATGNTATATATATATATAAACCCAATTTCACATTTTCCCTTACCAGGCCAGCCCAAATTTTAAAACAAAAATCCAAAGTCCAAACCCAATTCCACATTTTCCCTTACCTGGCCCAAAATCCAAATCCATATTTATAAGTTAGTCGAACGATCATGAACTGATCGTTTTGTTAATCGAACGAACACGAACAGTCATCTTATATTCTTTCGAGTTCGAACACGAAATCGAACACTCCTTCTTGCTTATCGAACGAGTTTCGAACGAAACTATTCGTTCGTGTTCGGTTCGATTGCAGGCCTAATGTGGACCGTTGATCTGGTATTGATTTGGTAGTTGACATTGGCCGTGTAATGTGGAGTTAATGATACTTGTGATTACAAAGAGAATTAATTAGGATAAGCAATTTAGAAGTGTTTTGTACTTTGATTAACATGAATTATGGAACTAACGGATTTAGATTTTAAATAAAAATTTAGAATAATTTGAAACTAAATTAAATGAGAGGTTGACTGAATATAAATGCATAAGCAAAGTTAATTTAATTTGGAATAGGGTATACACTTATACATTGGATGGAGATTGGATTGGCCTTGGGTCAACCGTTTAACTACAATCAACTAAAATCGGGCCAGCTTGAGCCTATAGGCCCAAGTTGGCCAACTGGGTTGCTTGTAACATGACTAGTATTAATTTGGGTTGTACAGGGTGAACTAAGCCAGCGGGACTTCTATGGTTCTAGGTCCAGTTTGTTGTCATTTAAAGCCGTGGGCTTAATTGATNAAGCCAGCGGGACTTCTATGGTTCTAGGTCCAGTTTGTTGTCATTTAAAGCCGTGGGCTTAATTGATTGTTCCATTGGACTTGACATTTTACCAAGTTCAACCCATCTCTGAAATGGGACTAACACCTGTTCTGTATTGTACTTAGGCCTGGCAAAATAGGTCCAGACCTACGAGTTGACCCTTAATCGGATAAAAAATATAGGGTACGGGTCTAATGTATTGGACTTTTTTTTTAAACCCGTACTCGACCCGACCCGCATTATTAACGAGTAATACGGGTAAACCCGCGGGTACCCCTTTTTTGTTAAAAGAAAACAGGGGAAATCCCTAACTCTAATTCTCTCGACTCTCAATCTCTCATACTCATTCACATTTAGTCATTCTCTCAACTCTCTCTCACAGTCATTTGTCATCCCAGTCCCACCGTTGCGGCGTCGCCATCTCTGAACTCCTCTCTCTCACAGACCACGTAGTCGACTCGTCATCTCTTCTCTCTCACGTCGTCGGCTCATCATCTCCTCTCTCTGTCCATCGCAAGACTCACGGCTCTCCTCTGTCACTGTCTCACATCATCATCCCAATCAGTAAATTTCTTCGCTCTCTTTCTCTTAGTTTTAAACATCACTTGCTTTTATTATTCGCGCATTGAACACTTGTCATTGAAATGTAACTATTACTTTGTTTGTTCGATTGAGATGATCAGAAACTGGGAGCTGATTATTTAGTTTTGAGGTAGTTTCAGTTGTATTATTTAGATCTTTCATTTTCCTAGGTTTGTTTGGTTGTTGAGAAAATGTATGAAAAAATAGTTGACTTCAGTAGCTTTTCGATGTTCAAGAAATTAGTAAAACTAGTTTGTAAATTTTGCTTAGTATGAATCGTTGGTAACTGAAGCTAACTGTGAAGACTCAATGGAAAACCTACTATTGATTTAAAGTTGAATATCGACATACTAAAAAACTTTATGAAGACTCTAATCCCCCATCAAACTGAAAAAAAGATAGCTTATGAGGCATGGAATGTTCTAATTAGATTTGTATGGTTTATGATTGCTGAGGAATTTGTGGAGCGTGCTCTAATTTACTCAAAATAGTTCTGTTCATTGTATTTTATTTTTGGACTGATCACATATGCTTTAAAGTAGTTGATTTTGGGATGTAAATGTAAAAAATTAAAACTGCAGGAATTTTAGGGGTGTAACTTTCATAATTGAAAACTATTGGGGGGTGAAACTGTAAAAATGAAAATCAGGAGAGAGAAAAAATGGATACCCGCGGGTTCACCCGTACCCACATAGGGTAGGGTACGGGCCTAAATTTTTTGGACCCGTATTGAACCCGTACCCGTGATGTTTCGACCCTAACCCGAATCACCCACCCGTTTTGCCAGGTCTAACTGTACTGTATTGTAAAATTTTCTTTGTATTGGATAAAATAATGAACTAAAAATGTTAATTAATAATATGGAAGTGGAACACAAATAAAGCAAATTCNTGCTCACCCCGTTATTTTCCTTTGTGGATGCAGGATCTAGGTGACGATGCAGTCGGAGGGGCGTCGGCAAGCGAGAAGCAATAGCTACACTGTTTCCCCTGTTTTGTCTTTTAAAATGGCATTTTTGTAAATGACGTTCTTTGTGTACAAAAGACGTATGACTAATAATAAAAAAAAGGAAAAGTTTTGGGCCCATTTTCTATTGTTATTATGCATGCATTGTACTAGTTTACAGTAGTTGTTACAGTTCTTGTGCCGCTGTTGTCTCCTCTGCCTCTGGACCACCTTCACTCATCGGATGATCCACCGGAGCGTCTTCTCGACAACCTTTGAACTACCGCCGCCGTCAGAGTCTATGATTTGGAATGCGGTTGGGTTTTCCTCCTCTTTCTGAATATCAACCATAATTTTGTGTAAGGAAGCTTTAGGATCGAATATTTTTCAGAATATGGCACTTTCGTCGTCGAAAATGGCAGAGAAATCGAAGGTGTTCGTCGATCGTTTTTTAGGTATTTGACTCGATTAAGCGATTTTGAAGGGTGGAGGTTGTTTTTAATTTTCAAAATTTAAACAAACTTCTATCAATTATAGTATTACCTGCATATGTTTAAATCATTTCACTTTAACCCATTTTACATGTTTAATGAATTATAGGCGTGCCATGTCAGTTCTTCTAAATTAAAAAACAATAAAAAAACATTTTTAAGGTCTTTTTTTTTTTAATGCAAACTTGGGAGTCCGGGGGTTAAATTTCATCGAGAAGCGAAGCCTACTCGAACAAAAATCGAAACCACAATACGCAAACAAACACCCTCGAATCTTCGAATCAATCAATCATTCAAAGATGCCAAAAAAGATGGGAGTGAACAGCAAAGCCGAGGCCGCGCGGGCTCGCAAAAGCGCCACGGAATCGGAGCGGAAGGACCGCGAAGCAAGAGAGAAGGAAGAGCAGTACTGGCGCGAAGCAGAGGGAGAAAAGTCGCGCGCCGCCAAGAAACGCGAGGAGGAAGCCGAGAAGCGAGCTGAAGCCGCGGCGCGGAAAGCCGAGGCCAAGCGTTTGGCCGAGCTGGAAGAGAAAGAGCTGGAGAAGTCTATGAGAAAGCCGGATAAGAAAGCGAATAGGGTTTCGATTCCGGTGCCAAAGGTGACGGAGGCAGAATTGCAGCGACAGCGCGAGGAGGAGCAGGCGCAGATGGCGAAGAAGGCGGAGGAGGCGAAGAAGAAGCAGGCTAGGACGGCGGCGGAAGAGGAGTATGAACGGATGGTTTTGGTGACGAATACGAACAGGGATGAGTCTGTTATTGAGGCAAGGACTGTGGAGGAGGCCATTGAGAAGATATCGTTGGCGGATAACTTGCCGGTGGACCGCCATCCAGAGCGGCGGCTAAAGGCCTCGTTTAAGGTAAGTCGAATCGAGATGAATTATTGAATGTTTGTTCTGTTTTAAGTTTTTTATTTAATGTTGCATAGAGTTGTTTAGAAACTAGCTTATTATTTTCATTTAAACAATTTAAAGTGATGAGATTTTTGCTTTTATTTTTCTTTATTTGGTAAAATGAAGCAATGCATGCTTTTAACAATTAGAAGTGTACTTTGATCCAGTTTTATGTTACAAGTTGGTGGAGTTATTATTATACGATGATTGTGGTTCAAATATCTATATCAGCTAGAATGATGTAAAAGAATCTGCCATTCCTCATGAAGCTAATAAATCATGGTCTACCTTGCAAGTAGATACTGATGTAAAAGAAACTGTAGAGCTTTTCAAATTAGTAGCACACTCTTCTGGTAGAGCTAATTGATCTCTTTTCAAACTTTGTTGATGTTTTAAATTTTAAGTCCTAGATTTTTCTTTTTCTTTCTTTTGATGCTACATGGGTTTACTTTGCCATGTGGGACATATATTTGGGGATGGTAATTACATTGATTTGCGGCATGAGGCATGGATGGGGAAGGCGGTGTGGCGTGGTGAAGATGGAGAGGGTCCCCTTGCGCTCCGAAGATGCCCCACAGCCTTCTGATAATTGGGGGAATTCTTTTTGTGCTCTCTGCGTCCCTTTGCTCTCTGAAGCTGCCCCATTGCCTTCTCATACATAGTGGATTGCTTGGTTGCTTTCTTTGAGTGCTTGCTAATAAGTTTTCTCTTTCTACTTCAAAGATTGAATAGTGCATATGCAAGATAAAGTGTGTGCTTTGGTATTGGGAATTTCAAGTCAGTCTGCTTACAATTCTCTTAGGCCAGTAACCTAGTACTATGTAGTTACTTCAATCCTTTTTGGATTGAATTTTGTTGGTTTGCAACATTCACTATTATTTATTTATTTTTTTTTTTGAAATGATTACTCTTTCTCTTTCAGTTCTCCCTTTTCCTCAGAAAATGTCCTTTAGCAAAAGTTCTCAAATTTCATAAGAAACATTTTGTATTGTCTTCTGATAACGCTTTTTTTTCATGCAATATTGTGATGCATTCTTTAAAAATCAACTCACGAATTGTATGTATTGTAATGATAAGCAATGTTCTCTTTTTCCATTTTATCTTGTTACACTATGATGTCCAAAATTTTTATTATTCTTGTTGATTTTGACTAATTCTTATGAAATTATACAGGCTTTTGAAGAAGCTGAGCTCCCTAGGCTTAAGGAGGAAAAACCAGGTCTTACTCACACTCAATACAAGGACTTGATATGGAAACTATGGAAGAAATCTCCAGACAATCCTCTTAATCAGGTTTGTTTCAGAAGTTTTGAATCAGGGCTTTTGAGTTAATCTTAAATGTTATTCGCAATCTTATCAGTTTCTTCTCTACATAATGTGTGTAACATTATTTGACCCCTCAGGTTGATGTGTAAATGTCAAGATTCATTTCATTGAATAATAGTGTTACTGTGGTCTAGTGGGTCAACCACGTCTATCTGTGTCTAACTATCTGGGTTTAGGGGTGGATAATTGGATATCTGGTTGTGTTGATGTCATTACTTCATAAATCAATTATTTTTATTAATACCATCTTTCTAGATCTGAGGTCTATTGTCCATCTATTTCCATGTGTAGGTTGCAGAGTAAGCATCATTGGATTCATTGTATCTTGAAAATAGAGTGACAGGCCATTCTCCTTGGGCACATCATTGAGGAATGTTACTATATCTTGCAGAGTGGAGTGTTTACAATTTGTACCTTATATGCGATCATTGTATTTTTTGGTTAAGTTGAACAAAACCAGAGTGTTAACAATGTTTTTCGGTTTCATTTCTGTTCCTGCTTGTTACTGGAACGTCCATGAGGTTTTGGTGAGTAAAGAAGAAATAAACTTGAGATTTCATGAATGTATATGCAGAGAATTACATTTGTGTTAAATGCGAATATTACCTTTCTTTGTTATAAAAGATTCCGCTTTTCACTTGTGGTTCACTGTTGTCTAAATATTGGGCATAGAAGCTATAGGAGCCAATAAATGCCTGGTTAACTGGAAGTTTTCGGCCTAAGATGCCTTATCCTTGAAGGTTGCAGTGATTAGAGAGTACTGTGGAAAGCTTGTTTACTTATTATCTGGTTTGTTTGAAACTATGAAGGCAGTATTTCAGTTTAGCTATTAAACTTTGGTGCAATATTGCTAGCTGGTTTAGAACAAGGCATTGTGAATTGGCTCTTAGGAAACCATTAGTTTGGTCTGTAGGCTTTATAATTACTACAGCTACTATTGGTAATATCCAACAATCAAATGCATTATGTTGAATACATGTGCCCCTTTCATATAGAAACTTTTGGGGATGATTAGTTGGAACAGTTACGGTGCTTTATATCTCTAATATCACCTACAAAATATAATATAGTGGTTCATATATTGCCAGAGTATTATGCTTCTAATTTCTCAAATATATAAGACCTACTTATTTTTTACATTTTTTGTTTTGATAATCGGGGGTGTCTGAGTCAATTTGCATGCATTTCAATTAATCCTTTGAGACTTTGGAACCGATTGGGTAAGAGATCCAATTGTCACTCCTATTAGTAGCTGTGAGGACTCAAGTTCAAGAGACCATGCAAACTTAGATTCTCTTTTACTCTTTTACTCTTTTACCATTAGGTAATGTTTTAAAACTCGGAATGGCCTAGTCGATTCAATTGGGACTCAAGGCCTTCATAGGGCCAGTTTACCAATTTCCCTATTTATCGAAAACCTTAAAAATTGGGATAATGATCGGCAAACAATTGAAGGCTGGGATGTTAGGGTTTTAAAGAGGAAGGGTCGGTGAGTGTAATAGTGGTGATGAAGGTAATTTCCAGTGAGTGAATCGACCAAAAAAAAAAACCATGGTGGCAACAACCAGCTTTTGCTAGCAATTGGCGAGGCAAACAAGGGTAGGGTGAGATGGGATTTTGTCAAGAGGTTGAGGGGAGTATTTTCGTGGTGATGGGAAGGGTTGTCGACGCCGACGGTGGTGAGATTTGGCCTGGCTTTTTTACGCCGACAGTGGTGAGATCTAACCGAAATCGAATTGATTTCGGCTAGATCTTGGGTAGGTTTTCTGGGGAATGGCTTAGGGGATAATTGGGATTGCATTTGGCATGCCGCCGTTGCCAACTAGTCAATTACCGATTTGTATTTGGGGTGTGTTGGCTAAATTGCAAATCTGTAGGGACTTCACTGTAATTTTTAGGGGTGTATTTACTTAATTTTAAACTTTTGGACACTTGGTTTGACTGGCCGGTCAAACCAGTTAAACTGGTCAACCCAGGACCCGACAACTTTGCTGGGTTCCGCCACGAGTTCGTTATTAAAACAACATTGTTATCAGGTCACCCAGTGGTAGTTTAAGACTTATTGTTTTCATGTTCCGTAGATGTCAACAAATAGCAGGGCTAAAATTGTTTTCCATATTTAGGCACATTGTGTTCTAATGATTCCACAAAACCACCATTAATTGATCTTATCATTCGCCATTAACAACACACATTGATTAAACAGTTTTTTTGAAATGATAATATGGTTTTCATTCTCAGTAGTAAGGTGGTGGACTAGTGACTTAAATGCTAGCCAACAACTTTGTTGTTAAATAACATAACTTCTACTAACTAGCAAAAATAATAATGAACATGTGCTACTGTTGTTGGCCAAATTCCATTCTATCTGTTACCTCTAATCATCTCTACCTTACCTTATTTGAGGCACATTCACCATAAATTAACAGCCTCACCAAACATGTACTGGCCCTTTTAATTTTCTGAGATGAAGGGATTTTGTTGCGAACCTACTCTACTGTACTATTCTAATCATCCACAAATTCACAGCATCAAAATATTCAACCATTAAGTATGAACAATCTAAACATTCAGAACTTCAAGTATGTATTTCCTGGTAAAGTCAGATTTACATTCATGTATGGACACTTCTCAACACCAGAATTCAATTAACAAACAACAAAGAAAATAAATGGAATTGCTACGCTGGACTTCGAGGGCCAACTACCTCCCCTTTTACTCAATTCTTTCTTGATGCCTTTTCAACCTCTACTGCTCCCTTTTATTCACTTCCTTCCCTAACAGAATTCCATTCTCAGCCACTTATCTGTCGCCACCTGTTTATTCTACCTTTTTGCTTCTCTTCACACTTTAGTTGCTCCCTTTATCACAATTGATTCCCTGGTGCTTCTTCCCATGCTTATTATTATAAACCCTCATTTCACGTGTTGTATCAATACCTTCCCGAAGAAGAGCCACCTTGTCCTCAAGGTGGAAAGAAGGAAATTGGTAATTCAGGCCGTCATACTCTTCCCAAGTATTCTCATGGTGGGGTAACCCTTTCCACTTAATTAGAACTTCCCTTTGACCATTGATTAGCTTGCGTATTTTCAGCACGTCTTCTGATTCGACAACTAAAACCAGGTCCTCATTTAAGGAATCGGGAAGAGGCTGAGTGTTTGGCGAAGAAAACTTGGCTTTCTTGAGTTGGGACACATGAAATACCTTGTGGATACGAGCACTAGCTGGAAGTTCTAACCTGTTGGCGGCTGATCCGATTTTCTCCAGGATTCGGAATGGCCCATAAAACCGGGGACTTAGCTTTTCATTGCAGTGGGCAGCAAGTGATTTCAGACGGTAGGGCTATAGCTTAAGGTATGCAGATTCGTCCACTTCAAACTGAACATCCCGTCTCTTCGCATCAGCCGAATTTTTCATGCGGTTTTGAGCCTTATGCAAATTCTCCTTAAGCTCCAGGATAATACTGTTGTGATTCTAAATCTGCTGATTGACTTCATCTACTGGGGAGCTATGGTCTGCGTATTTCAACAATGTTGGAGGGTCTCGTCCGTACAAGGCCTTGAAAGGACTCATACCCGTGGAGCTGCTATAAGTAGTGTTAAACCAGAATTTAGCCCATGGAATCCAGTGAGGCCACTACCGAGGTTGATTTCCTACAAAACAGCGAAGGTAAGTTTCCAAACATCTGTTAACAGCCTCCGTTTGACCATCTGTCTGCGGGTGATAGGCCGAACTCATATGTAGCTTAGTTCCAGCCTGCTTAAATAGTTCTCCCCAAAAATGGCTCATGAACACTCGATCGCGATCCGAAACAATCGTCCTTGGAAAGCCGTGGAGTCGTACCACCTCTTTGATGAATGCGGCTGCTACTTCCTTGGCTGTATAAGGGTGTTTGAGTGTGAGGAAATGGCTATATTTAGTGAATCTGTCAACGACCACCAGGATAGTATCCACATTGTGTGCTTTCGGAAGCCCCACTATAAAATCCATGGAAATATCTTCCCAAACCTGGATTGGAATAGGAAGGGGTTGCAATAGACCAGCAGGCCGCAATGCTTCATATTTGTTTTGTTGACACACACTATAAGAGTTCACATAATGTTGAATATCCCGTTTCATTCCATCCCAATAAAACACATTCATCAGGCGCTTGTATGTTCTGTAGAATCCAGAGTGGCCTCCAATCGGGGATGAGTGAAATTCATGCAAAAGTTTTTGAATATGAGGGCCTTGTTTCGAAACAACCAACCTGTTTTGGTACATAAGGTGTCTGCCCCTGAGTTTGAAATGAGGGTGGCCGTGAGGGTTAACCATGAGCTGTTGGGTGAGCTACCGCAACTTACCATCTTGTTGGATGGCCTCTTCCAGTTCTTCGAATTCGCCGAAACAACCCATTGAAATGGCGTTATTCTCCACATTCTCGGGCCGCCGGGACAATGCATCCGCAGCCTTGTTCTCTGGCCCTGGGCGGTATTGTATTTCAAATTGCAACCCCAGTAATTTTGACACCCATTTCTACTGCTCTTCATTCAGCAACCTATGTTCAATCAGAAAATGGAGGCTTTTCTAGTCAGTTCTGATGACAAAACGTCGGCCAAGCAAATAATGTCTCCATTTCTATACCGCCATCACGATAGCCATCATTTCTCTTTCATAAACAGACTTGAGTTTCGAATTTGCTGATAGCCCTTTACTGAGAAAAACAAGCAGCCTTCCTTCCTGCATTAAAACAGCTCCCAAACCACAACCTGACGCATCAGTTTCAATAAGAAATTGTTTAGAGAAATCAAGCATTACCAACACCAGTACACTGGTCAGCGCAGATTTCAATGCCTCAAATGCTTCCTGAGGTTTCTCACCCTACATGAATGACTCCTTTCTTAAATTAGTCAAGGGAAGAGCTATCTTACCATACCCTTTTACAAAGCGTCTGTAATACCCTGTCAAGCCGAGGAACCGTCTGAGTGTTTTCACATCCTTCGGTTGGGGCCAGTTGACAATACTTTCAATCTTTGAGGGATCCACAGCCAACCCGTGTGCCGAAATGAAATGGCCCAAATATTCTAATTGGGGTTGTCCGAAGAAACACTTCTTTCGATTGGCCACTAATTGATGTTTTAGCAGTGTCTGAAACGTGAGACTAAGATGCTGCATGTGGTCGTCCATTGTTTTGCTGTACACCAAAATATCATCAAAGAATACCAGGATAAACTTCCGAAGGTATGGCCGAAAAACCTCGTTCATCAAGGCTTGGAATGTGGATGGGGCATTGGTCAACCCGAATGGCATAACGAGGAATTTGTAGTGCCCTTCGTGAGTTCAGAAAGCTGTCTTGTGGGTATCCTCTGGTTGCACTCTGATTTGGTGGTGCCCAGACTTCAAATCCAGCTTGGAGAATACCTTGGCCCCTCCAAGTTCATCGAATAACTCGTCAATGGCGGGAATGGGAAACCTATCTGGGATTGTTACTTTATTGAGTGCCCTGTAATCAACGCAGAACTGCCACCCACCATCTTTCTTCTTAACCAGCAGAACCGGACTGGAAAAAGGACTGATACTTGGTTTAA